CCTGTCCTGGAGGACCCCCTGCCCTGCACATTTTGTATGTCTCCCTAATCAGACACACACCCAATTTAGTTCTTGCAGTCTCTACTAATGAGCTGATGAGTGGAATCAGGTGTGTTAGATAAGGGAGACATACAAAAGGTGCAGGGCAGGGGGGCCTCCAGGACAGGTTTGGGAACCACTGATCTAGATGAATAAATAGTTAAAATTAATGTGGATGATCCAGAATTAATTTTAGACAATTTTGAAGCTCCAAAAGTAGATAATTCCTTCTCTTGGCACATGACACATGGTCATCAAGGACATCAAATATAAAAATAGTTTGGAATATGTTCTGTATTCTCTCAGTTCAAATACATTTTGTCATTAATTACGGGTTCAATCGCAAAGCGCTGAAACCCTATTAATTGTAAGGATTTTTATTATTTTTCTGCCGTAAAACTGATTGTGCAGACCAAACCATAAGGCACTTGAAACGGCCTGATGGTAGAGCTCAATTTGGGGAGAGACTGGCAAAGACTCACACCAATCGGACAATAGGGGGCGCTACAGCGATGAAAAACGCAAAATCACTCATAACTCCGTAACTTGTCATAGAGTCAAGTGTCTTATATCATTGGAATCCTTGGCTCTAGACAAACAAAATGGCTATCTCTGATTTCATTTCTGGTATGTAAAAAAAACCTACTTTTGCGAACTAGTCCTAGGAGTTTTGCTCAACATCAATAAAACCAGTGCAGTACAATTCTTTGGACTCTCAAGGTCAATAAATTTTTTTTTTTTTTTAAGTTGACCCTTTGCATTTGGACTGGTATAACAGGGTCATTTAAAAACATGATCTTGAGTTAGTGTACCCGAAAGCCTATAAATGCTTAAAGTAAACTCAAAACTTCACAAAACTGTTCAAACTCATTCATCATGTGATTCTATTATAAAAACATTATAAAATCTGTGTTATAGCATTACACATCACATTTTATCAAAGTTTACCACTTTATTTCTACTGAGATGGGGATGACCTGATCATGCTTTGGATGTTTTTTGATTTCAGAGATGGCCGACTGAAGGCAGGTGACGAGTTACTGATGATAAGCGGTCACTCCTTGGTTGGACTCTCACACCAGGAGGCTGTAGCCATCCTGCGCTCCACTGCTGGACTTGTGCAGCTGGTAGTGGCCAGCAGGGTGAGTTTGAATTCATAAGCAAATCGACCTCATACTATATCAATAATTGTGTGTCATTGCACTGGGAAGCATCTTCACGCTTGAATGATGAGCAGCTCTTGATGTGGTCCTTGTATAAAGACATTCAAGCACATTAAGATGTCAAAAGCAGATGTTGTAGCAGCTAAAAAATTGAACAGTGAAGCACTGATGGCCTCGCCGCTCGGCTTTCTGAGATAAAGTTAAAAATACTCACAGGCTCAACGACGGCACACAACATGCTTTCTCCAGCTGCTCTTCCTTCCTTTCCCAGGATGAATCCGAAGTGGACTTCCACAAGTACCCGTCCACCAGCTTGCCCGACCTAGTGAGCACATGCTCTGGTCCGGACGCCTCTCCCTCCCCTGGAGAGGAGAAGGAGAACATGGAGCCGGATGTGGAGGACGTGAGGGCCAGCAGCCTTTCACTGCCCACCCAGGACTTGGTACGTACGTTTGCCACCTATCTGCCTGATTATCTGCCGCTTTCAACTGGTGTTGCCTCAGCTGCCCTCAGATCGAGCTAAAATAGACGGTTTTCTGTTTTTGGTAGTGTTTATGATTAAAAGTTTGCTTTTAGAATCATAATCTGTTTGTTAGGTTGAGTATGTGTTGTTGTCTTCCCTTAAACTTTCACTGGCACCTCTTTGAGGTGTTTGATAAAAAGCAAACATACTTCAATGGTTTGTCTGATAAGAACAAGACTTTCCTGATATTTTTCAGCAAAGTCTAAATACCTGCAGCATGTTGTGATTTAAAATACAGCATTTCCTTTTAAGGACAGCACAGTTGCTTTATCTGTTTGCCTCTTTTGATCTGTGTGCCAGGGCCCCATTTATGTTCTTATGGTTTTTATTTGTTGTTTTGGCAGAAAAATATTAGTTCCACTGTTTACTAAGCAACCATTGGCTCAGCATTTGTTTGTTTCATCACAGATAACAAATTATTCATTTGCTCTGCGCAAGCAGGCATGCATCAAATCACTAATGCCGCACAGCGTTAATGTTTAATCATACAAAATGAGACGTTGCACTGGTTTGGTGATCAGTAATGACAACATGGCTAATGCCGGCCATTATCTGAATCAATGCCACACTGACAGGACCACACAACTCAACGTGTTAGGATTAAAGTATTGCATACAGTGAGAGAGCAGCACCCATGATGCTTTGCTTGAGATGTTCTGTAGTAAAGTTGGTCATTCCCCACCGCCCCCCACTGTCTATAATGCGAACACGTTCTTGCTTTCAGGAGAAAAAAAATGGAAAAGAGCCACTGTCTTGCCTGCTGTCTAATTATATTAGCATTCCATGGCTCCTGCTGATCATAGCTGTGAATTTGGGGCAGTACATCTTGGGTTTGTCTCACTGTACAGCAGGAAACTTTTGACAGATGTTATTTTGTGATCCTCTAGTCCTTATCAATCATTTACTCATAGTGACACTGTTCAAGCTTAAAAATATTAAACAAGACCGTAAAAGATACTGTACCATATATAGTTCCTTTTATATATAGCACTGAATGTAGATGACTGGATGGGTAGATGGATAGGAAAGAAGGTACAAAAGCTGTTACTGGAGGGGGCACCGTAGTACCTTATTTACCCCTTATTGGTGCATATTTGATCCTAACGGTAAATATTGGTACCTTTTGAAAGGGTACCGCCATTGACAGATTTTGTACCTTTTTATCTGAGAGTGTAGATAGCTCAAAAATCAGGGCAGGAACATGCTAGTCAAATGAGAGGTTCCAGCTTTTTATTAAAAATAAAACAGAAGTTCTGAAATCTTATTCATTTACTTTTCCTGTTGTTTTAGGTTTTTGTTGTGGTATTGATTCAGTATTGGTATTGTGATATTTTAGTCAGGTATCATATTGAAGACATAATTTTGGTATCGTGACAACACTACTTTCTGTTTAGTTACTCTTTACAGGGATCGCATTGTAAATTTTTGAATTTTAAAATTCTTATGAACATTATGAAAGAAGTACAGTTATTATGACAATAAAAGATAGATAGATAGATAGATAGATAGATAGATAGATAGAGCGTATCATTTACATTCAGTAACAAGCTGTAACAAATTGCATATAATATCCATTGAATAAACTTCTCATCTTTTGCAGTTTTGTGCTGGAACTCAGCAACATTTTTGTATGGCTTTCGTAGCTCTTGGTTGCAGTATGCAAGAATCACGGTCCATCAGCTAATAATCTCTTCCCCTTAGTATGGTCTGCTTTAAAATATTTCACCAGCTAGAAATGACTTTTTCTGAGTGCAGTCTCTATAAAACAGATTTTTTAAATTCCTTGTCCAGTGATCATGAATGACTGGAAAAGGTGAAGTCATGGAAATTCATTGGTCTGAAAGTGTGAGAACCCTATCATTAAGTTATTAAGCAGAAAATGAAATGGAGATTGTAATTGGGCTAATTAATTTTTCAGTTTGCCATATGTTTGCTTTCCCCTTTCACTCTTCCATTCCAAATCATCTGTCCAAAATGTTCTTACACTCCCTTTCAGCACCCTGCCACAGCAGAAGAGGGCGATGAGCAGTTGCTATTATGTGGGTGTCCAGTGCTGACAGTGTTGGGTGTGTCTCCATATCTGTTCTGAAGTGTCAGGCTCAGGGGTTTTGATGAGACAAAGGGAGGGAGGGAAAAACATGGCAGCACATTTTCAAAAAATAGGGAAGGGGAGGATCTGGTAGAAGGACGCAGCTGTGACTGTCACAATGAGTCCTGTGAGGCACGTAGGTATGGGGTTTAAGGAACAGCGTAGCGTAGCTTGTTCATGCAGGAGACAGATCCCATTTCTGACAACGGAGGGAAGGGCTTCCTGTCTGCGTGCCTGAAAAGAGAGCAGTGAATCTTCCCTTACATGTTGCGGTTTGAACTTGTTTCAGGATGCATGAGCTGTGCGATAAACCGTAGCTCATTCTCAAAGCTTAGGCGGTTAGAAGGGGAAAACACTGTGGTATTTCTTTTTCACAGCAGCCAAGGAAGAGCAGTATTAATGTGGTGCAATGAAGCAGATTTTCTGACTTCAAAATGCCATTGGAAATTATTACAAAAATAAATGCACTACTTCCATTGCCACACACAATACACATTTAAAGAAACCTTAAATCAACTTAATATCAATCAGTGTTATGCAAGATTTTTCCAGGTCAAAAGTTGTTCTATGGTAGCTTACTTACAAAGTCATCCACATATGTAAAGTTGACTACATAGTTGCAGTTAATTAACATAATGACTTAATTGCATTTTATGTTTATAGTTATTATTAGTGATCATTTAAGCATGTAGAACCTTTTAAATTTGGCCCAGAATTTTCTACTTGAAAGTGCTGTGACAAGTCAAGCTAATTTAACACCTTATTTAGCACATTTAGTGGTTACCATATAAAATCAGTGATCATGAGATAGACACAATTATCATAAAAAAAAGTTTATTTGAAAGTTTATGGACGGTAAGATTTTTTGATATTTTTTCAAAAAGTATCGCATTTATTTGATTAAAAATACAGTAAAACACTAATAGTAAAATATTATTACAATATAAAATAATTATTTTAATATATTTTAAAATGTAATTTATTCCTGTGATGGCAAAGCTGAATTTTCAGCAGCCATTACTTTAATCTGCAGTGTCACATGATCCTTCAGAAATCATTCCAATATGCTGATTTTGTACTCAAGAAACCTTTCTTATTATTATTAATATTGAAAACAGTTGTGCTGATTTTTCGAGATTCGTAACATTTTACAGTAAATGGTTTTAAAAAAGGCATCCTTGCTGAATAAATGTATTAAAGGGATAGTTCACCCAAAAATGAAAATTACCCCATGATTTACTCATCCTCAAACTATCCTACGTGTATATTACTTCCTTCCAAAATGTGGAAAAATCACTACCCACTGCCATTATAAAGCTTGAAAGAGCCAGTAGTTTTTAACATAACTACGATTGTATTCGTCTGAAAGAAGAAAGTCATATACACTTAGGATGGCTTGAGGATGAGTACATCATGGGGTAATTTTCATTTTTGGGTGAACTATCCCTTTAATTTGTTTTTTTCTAGCAAATTGTACTGACTTAAATTAGTTTTTATATTAAACTTTGAAGAAACTAAAAGCAAAAAACTTACTTAGCAGAACTAACTTCAATAGATTGTAAACTAATATAATTTAATATGTATTGAAATTAGTTTTGTAAAGCTATATAATTTAGAGTACAAACATTTATTGGTTAAATCATAGGGCATAAAACACATGACACATTTCCATTCCACACCTCCAAGAAATCTCCAAGAAAACATTGGCTTTCATTTATACGTGAGATTTGATCTCCCTGTGTGAAAATATGAAAGCGTTCACCAGCATGAGTGTGCAACATTCCCTATACTCCTGCACAGTGAAGGGCAAACAAATGTTTATGGCTTACATTTTTAAGAGGAAGTGTCACAGGAAACATTTGCTTTCTCCAGTGTTTCTCATTTCGAGCCAGTCTGATGTTTTCTGCCTCTCTCTGTTCAAGGCATGTTCCCTAAATCCCTCTGCCTCCTGTCTTCCTATTGGTACCTTTTAAAAAAGCAAAGCCCCAATGACAGCTTTTGTACCTCTTTTCCTGAGAGTGTAGACAGAGGAATAGGTGTGTAGATGCATGGATATATAGCTAGATAAATAGATAGATTCCTTTATTCTTTATATATAATTTAAAAAGTTGTTTCTGAGAATCTTTGCATTGTTAGACAAATACCATCTTAACCTAGTTAAACATCAGTTGGATTCACTTTGTCACTGCATAGATGAATACGTGTAAGTAAAGGCTTATGAGACATGATGAGGTATGAGGAGCTTCCTCTCATCCTGTGTTCTCTAGTCTCCAGTGAGCTGTTCTCTCAATCCAGGCTTTAGTCTCTAATGAATGACAGAGTGGAAGCTCGTACAGGGTGATGGGGACTGAAAGAGGATTAAACAATATAGTTTGCTCTCATGCTGATTTCCCGTGATTTACTGTCCTGGTCACATGCTGTTTTTGTTTAGTATAACTTTCTTAGCAGAGGTCCTGCGATATTGAAATGAGAAACTGTGGCTTTCTATTGAGTTTTCTCCTTATAGGCATCACATTGGAAAATTTGGAAAAATAAATTTTAAGAAGAATTTTAAAATTGTGATTTTTTTCAGTCTTGGAAAAAAAAGTCATGGGAAATTCTGATTCAGAAAATTACATCATCTACAACATCTGCACTAAAACCAACTTTTTTCTTGCCTATAGTTACTGCATATTGCTTTTTTGGGAAGCAAGTTATTTAGGCAAATTAACTTTTTCCCTCTTTTTTAAATAACAGAGTGTTTCATTTACAGTCAGTAAACAACTGTGACGAATTGCATAGAATGCTGCTCGTCTTTTGCAGGTTTGTGCTGGAGCTCAGCAACATTTACACCCATATAGCTTTCATTCATAGCTCTTGAATGTGCTATGCAAGAATCACAGCCCATCAGCAAATAACTTTTTCCCCTTTACTGTGGTCTGCTTTAAAATATTTCACCAGCTAGAAATGACTTTTTCTGAGTGCAGTCTCTATAAAACAGATTTTTTAAATTCCTTGTCCAGTGATCATGAATGACTGGAAAAGGTGAAGTCATGGAAATTCATTGGTCTGAAAGTGTGAGAACCCTATCATTAAGTTATTAAGCAGAAAATGAAATGGAGATTGTAATTGGGCTAATTAATTTTTCAGTTTGCCATATGTTTGCTTTCCCCTTTCACTCTTCCATTCCAAATCATCTGTCCAAAATGTTCTTACACTCCCTTTCAGCACCCTGCCACAGCAGAAGAGGGCGATGAGCAGTTGCTATTATGTGGGTGTCCAGTGCTGACAGTGTTGGGTGTGTCTCCATATCTGTTCTGAAGTGTCAGGCTCAGGGGTTTTGATGAGACAAAGGGAGGGAGGGAAAAACATGGCAGCACATTTTCAAAAAATAGGGAAGGGGAGGATCTGGTAGAAGGACGCAGCTGTGACTGTCACAATGAGTCCTGTGAGGCACGTAGGTATGGGGTTTAAGGAACAGCGTAGCGTAGCTTGTTCATGCAGGAGACAGATCCCATTTCTGACAACGGAGGGAAGGGCTTCCTGTCTGCGTGCCTGAAAAGAGAGCAGTGAATCTTCCCTTACATGTTGCGGTTTGAACTTGTTTCAGGATGCATGAGCTGTGCGATAAACCGTAGCTCATTCTCAAAGCTTAGGCGGTTAGAAGGGGAAAACACTGTGGTATTTCTTTTTCACAGCAGCCAAGGAAGAGCAGTATTAATGTGGTGCAATGAAGCAGATTTTCTGACTTCAAAATGCCATTGGAAATTATTACAAAAATAAATGCACTACTTCCATTGCCACACACAATACACATTTAAAGAAACCTTAAATCAACTTAATATCAATCAGTGTTATGCAAGATTTTTCCAGGTCAAAAGTTGTTCTATGGTAGCTTACTTACAAAGTCATCCACATATGTAAAGTTGACTACATAGTTGCAGTTAATTAACATAATGACTTAATTGCATTTTATGTTTATAGTTATTATTAGTGATCATTTAAGCATGTAGAACCTTTTAAATTTGGCCCAGAATTTTCTACTTGAAAGTGCTGTGACAAGTCAAGCTAATTTAACACCTTATTTAGCACATTTAGTGGTTACCATATAAAATCAGTGATCATGAGATAGACACAATTATCATAAAAAAAAGTTTATTTGAAAGTTTATGGACGGTAAGATTTTTTGATATTTTTTCAAAAAGTATCGCATTTATTTGATTAAAAATACAGTAAAACACTAATAGTAAAATATTATTACAATATAAAATAATTATTTTAATATATTTTAAAATGTAATTTATTCCTGTGATGGCAAAGCTGAATTTTCAGCAGCCATTACTTTAATCTGCAGTGTCACATGATCCTTCAGAAATCATTCCAATATGCTGATTTTGTACTCAAGAAACCTTTCTTATTATTATTAATATTGAAAACAGTTGTGCTGATTTTTCGAGATTCGTAACATTTTACAGTAAATGGTTTTAAAAAAGGCATCCTTGCTGAATAAATGTATTAAAGGGATAGTTCACCCAAAAATGAAAATTACCCCATGATTTACTCATCCTCAAACTATCCTACGTGTATATTACTTCCTTCCAAAATGTGGAAAAATCACTACCCACTGCCATTATAAAGCTTGAAAGAGCCAGTAGTTTTTAACATAACTACGATTGTATTCGTCTGAAAGAAGAAAGTCATATACACTTAGGATGGCTTGAGGATGAGTACATCATGGGGTAATTTTCATTTTTGGGTGAACTATCCCTTTAATTTGTTTTTTTCTAGCAAATTGTACTGACTTAAATTAGTTTTTATATTAAACTTTGAAGAAACTAAAAGCAAAAAACTTACTTAGCAGAACTAACTTCAATAGATTGTAAACTAATATAATTTAATATGTATTGAAATTAGTTTTGTAAAGCTATATAATTTAGAGTACAAACATTTATTGGTTAAATCATAGGGCATAAAACACATGACACATTTCCATTCCACACCTCCAAGAAATCTCCAAGAAAACATTGGCTTTCATTTATACGTGAGATTTGATCTCCCTGTGTGAAAATATGAAAGCGTTCACCAGCATGAGTGTGCAACATTCCCTATACTCCTGCACAGTGAAGGGCAAACAAATGTTTATGGCTTACATTTTTAAGAGGAAGTGTCACAGGAAACATTTGCTTTCTCCAGTGTTTCTCATTTCGAGCCAGTCTGATGTTTTCTGCCTCTCTCTGTTCAAGGCATGTTCCCTAAATCCCTCTGCCTCCTGTCTTCCAGTTTACAGATCTTGACAGACTGGATGAACGTGGCAGGATTGAGGGTCTCAAGGGATGTTGCCGAAGCCCCACACCAATGAAGTTCCGCAGCAGATCCCAAGGTCGAACATGTCCGGTTGTATCAAGTCACAACACTGCTGAGCATGAAAATTTTGTAATGAGATTAAGCTGTATTATGGCCAAGAGTGGATCCACCAATTCAAATTTCTTTATGATAGATTCTTGCAAAAGATCAGAGTGTACTGAAATTGTTTACATAGTTTATTTATTTATTTTTTTGATTATGCTTGTTAATCAGCAGAGACATTAAGACATATGGAGATCAGTTTCTCCCGCTGTGAATATAAATGACTGAATTAAGTGTGTGTTTACATTTCAAGTTCATGTCTTGATGGTGTCATTATGATCAGGTGGAGGAAGCCGTCTGGAGTCTGTTGGTGAAGACGATGAGCTTATCGTAGAAAATGGTGATACAGGAAGTAACGTTGCAGAAAAGCCAGCACGAGGAGGACGCAAACACTCCCTCCCTCAGCAGCTGGATACAGTTGGGATCCGACAGGTTGCTGCAGCATTCAGCTCATTCCTTTTCATTTTTCCCTTATTCGGTATAACTTGATGCCTGGTTCCAGTTCCTTCTGTTGCAATGGCCCAAAACAATAATTATTATGTGGCACGGCCACTTTAAAGATGACTCACCCAGACTTGGCTTTTCCTAGGTTTCCCTTAACTGTGCCAATTACAGTTAAGATGTTTGAATAGTTTAATCCTTACCTCAGACCTTCACTTTTTGTCATATTTAAAGTATAAGCCTTTGCACAAGCAAGGCATAAAGTGCAGTCATTTTTGCTAAAATATACCCTAAAAGACTGTGTAAATATATCATTTCGTATATTTTATTGTTTTCTTATGTGAGGAAAAAAAAAACAATATAGTAAATCAGTTTCCAGGGGCAACTGTCAAGTAAACAGGTTAGCATCGTTATTTAATAAAATATTTGACTACAGAATGCTTCTATTGACCAATCAAAATCAAGCATTCCAGATTCTGTGATAAGCCTAAATATAGTGTATTATGTGTAATATAACAGTCTCAATTTGTTTGCTTTTTCTTCACAATGACATTAGCACAATAGCATTTACATTTACTTGCTCTCAGCTGTTGCTTTTAAAGCAACTTACAAATGAAGAAAAACATTTACAAAGCATTTCAAATGTATGAAACCTCAGTTGGCCTCACGCACCAGCAGGCCATTCAGACCTTCAAGGTAAACTGCTCAGTCACCCCAGAAACACCTGCAGCGGTCCATAAAACCTCAGAAAAGATTTAACTCCGGACTGTTAATCTCAGGCCCATTTCTTTGAATTCTGTGTCATTGGAAAAACGGAAATTACTAGGAATTCTTAGGTGTTCGTCCCATTCAGCATCTAATGGATAACGTTTTTCTCCTTTTCAGCAACTGAAGAAGGGAGTAGTTACCCTAACAGTACGGACCCGTCTGAGAAGCCCAAGTCTTACACCCTGTCCCACGCCTACCCTGCTCAGCAGATCCAGCTCTCCAAACTCAAATGCCAGTGGTGGGACTCCAGTCCCTCCTAGCTTTGAAGATGGGGACTCTCGTAAGGGGCCTGGTCCCAAAGATCGAATTATCATGGAGGTTACACTGAACAAAGGTACAATCATGGCGTTTTGATAAAACAAACACAGTGAGTTGTAGAGAGGTACACTAACATTTAAAAATTTGGTCTCAGTAAGTGTTTTTTTTTTTATTAATACTTAATACTTTTTAATTTAATTAATAAAATTATACTTTTTTCAGCAAGGACACATTAAATTGATCAAAATTGACAGTAAAGACACTTATGATGTTACAGAAGATTTTTATTTCAAAGGCTGCTCTTTTGATCTTTGTATTCATCAAAGAATCCTGGAGAAAATACTGTTCACTGTTTTAAATTACATTTTATAATACGTTATATTATTCTATTCAATTATAAAAAAAATATATTATATTATTCTAAATTGTAATAATATTTCTCAATATTATTTTTTTTGCTGTAATTTTCAATGCAAATCAATGCAGCCATGGTGAGCATTAGAGACGTCTTTCAAAACCATAAAAAATTCTTACTGACCCTAAACTTTTGAACAGTAGTGTATACAAAATTAACAGCTGTACCACCACAGTAATAGTTTTGCTTATTTATGTGTACTGTGTTTGCTTTTTGTAAATTGTACAGTCTTGAGGATTAAACATTAGGCCTATATTAATTTAATAATCAGCTAAAGTTATTGCAACACTCCTTTCCATTTGAAATTGGCTCATGATATTTTTTACTCCAAGGAAATGGGCTTTAAAGTTATTTTTATTAGCATAGACACACACCTGTGTGTCAGGATGAATGCGTGTTTAAGTTTTGGGTTCATTATGTCTCTAAATAAACCATCCTGCCAAAATGAAAACTGTTATTCTTGGATCGTCATGCTAATATATAGACCCTCCAAGTGCCGTTCTCATTATTTGAGTTTGGTTAACTTCTTCAGTTCAGGGACACCACATACTTCTTTGACATGAAGGTTATTATTGCAGTGTGTATGCATATTTAAATTACAAATATGTAAGTCTTTTAAATCAAAGACTCTAGGCTTGATTTCCCTTAGGTTCAGTGGGAAATTTCACCTCAGCAGTTGTTGTATCTATCTAATAATGAACCATTAAAACTTTCCCTCCTGTTATGACAGAATATTTAAAATCCCTTTAACCAGATAAATAGAAGAAATAAGACTCAGCAGTGCTGTTTTTGTGTGTGTTTCAGAGCCAGGTGTGGGGCTGGGTATCGGTGCCTGTTGTCTAACACTGGAAAACAGTACTCCTGGGATCTACATCCACAGCTTGGCGCCAGGATCTGTTGCAAAAATGGATAGCAGGCTCAGGTAGACTTTTGGTTATATAGTGGTCATGTGCATCCCACGCAGATTCACATGTCTCATATACAGTTGCTGAGTGGTAAATTAAAATTAATTATTTCTTATTCAAGACCAATCGCATAGATCTTCATTTTCCCTGCAGAGCCCACAATGTGTCTGTCCACGTGTTTGCAGCAGATTATTTTTTTCTAATGTATAAAACATCCAGTAAACCTAATTTGTTCTTCGTTGTTTGCATGTTTGTTTGTGATTTGCTAGAGTTTGTGTGTAGTCGCTCCTTTTTAGATGAAACACCTCACAGACTGAAAAAGAATGTGTGGTAAGAGCCAGAAACCCATGAATGGGGTCTTTATGGCAGGAGATTGAGATCCTGAATGTTGGATCTAGTTGTGAAAGTGGTTGCAGCTGTCTGAAGAGAAAGATAAGGCTATAATACACTTTCAGACATGTATTTATTTATTTTTTTTATACAACAAATGCAATTGGGTTGACACTTAAAATACCCTTGGACCGCATACATCAACGGTAATCCCCGTTATCATATGATATATATTATACTCTATCGTTCACTGGTCTAGAACCTAAATATATTTTGGATGTGCTTATTGAATATAAACCTAATAAATCTCTTAAATCATTAGGATTGAGTCGGCAAAAAATATGTAAGGTTCACTCCAAACATGGCGAGACAGCGTTAAGTTATTATGCCTCCCACAGCTGGAACCAGCTTCCAGAAAATATGAGATGTCCTGCAGCGTTATCAACATTTAAGTCCAGGCTGAAAGCATGAATGTTAAATTTGCCAATTTACACTATCATTCAAAAGTTTCTGGTTGGTAAGATTTTGTAATGTTTTGAAAAGAAATCTCCTATTCTCACAAAGGTTGTATACAGTAAAAAAAAACAGTAATATTGTGAAATATTGTTACAATTTAAAATAACTTTTTGTATTTTGTTATATTTTAAAATGTAATTTATCCATGTGATGGCAAAGCTGAATTTTCAGCATCATTACTCCAGTCTTCAGTGTCACATGATTATTCAGAAATCATTCTAATATGCTGATTTGCTGCTCAAGAAACATTTCTTACCTTTATTTTGAATGTGGAAAACAGTTTATTTTTTTAGTGTTCAGTTTTGATCAAATCCTTGATTATATTGACTTGTGTGTGTGTGTATGTGTGTATCAGTCGAGGAGACCAGCTCCTGGAGGTGGATTCTGTGAGCCTGAGACACGCAGCGTTGAGTGAAGCCTATGCTATCCTGAGTGAATGTGGACCCGGCCCAGTCAGCCTCATCATCAGCCGACATCCAAACCCCAAAGTAAGAGCCAAACATGTGGAGCCCCACCTTGGTATCTTATTTAGCCTCAGTATAGAAATTAACGAATTTACTAACTATCATCTCATTAACAACTGAGAATCTATGGTAGTTAATAGATTAATTCAGAGGGTGCAACTTTTTTTGGTTTATTGCTCCATGAAAATAAAATATTTAAAGTATTTTAATGTCCATAGAAATATTAATAATGTAAATGCCCCTAGTTTTAGAACCTGGTTTAATTTATGAATAAATAAACCCCAAACACCAGTGTGGTGATGTGGTCACACACTCCTTCAGTCACAAGGGTGTCTTCCTCTGCCAGACTGGTGCAAGTGGAACTCAGAAGCACCATCCACCTGTTAAGTTGTAATTTGCTCATAGCATGAATCATTGAAGCTCAACAAAAAAGTAGACAACATTCCTCTCCCCCTTCTGCTAGAGCAGCCTGGTTTCCATCCACCTAATGAATCAAGATGTAGAGAAATGTGCGCTGGGGTGGGGTGCAGCGGGAGATTTTTGTGGTGAGAATATGCTGACTGTTCACTCAGCCTGATAAATGAGAGCCAGTGCTAATGTGCCGTGAGCAGAGCTGCGTTAGAACTAGCTTAACACTTACCATGTGACAGAAGGTCAGAAGCCTTTATCAAAGGGTCATTAATTGCTTAAATCAGCACCTGACATAATTTTCTAGATTGTATATATATATATATAT